GCCCGTTCTCGATCGTCGATTTTCCCTGTCTCCCGCGTGGTCGGCGTCAACGTATCCGAGTAGTTGTGCGGATGGTGTTGTTACTTTGCTGTAGGTGAGTCCAGTCGTCGGCGTAGAGACGAAGTAGAGTAGTGCCCGGTTTAGTTCTTCGAGATCTTCCTGTTCCGGCTGCTTCAGATGCGTCGCCAGCTGGCTTGCGCTGTAGGATAGGTCAGGTCGGCAGGTTACTGCTGCGAATAGTAGGCACCCGAGCTTCTGCTGATACTCCTGGATTTGCTTCGCGGGGAGTTTTGCGGAGGTGTCGTTGTTGTTCCCGTAGCGGTAGGGAGTCGCGACTGTAGTTGGTGTTAGTCCGAACTTCTTTGCGACAACGCCTGCGTACTTTCTAGCGTATAGGTAGAACGCTGAGTTGTCTTTGACGACGTTTAGACCCAGGTACTGGGTTACGGTGTCTGACACCGTGAGTGTCAGGTCCCTTTTCAGCTCCCCTTCAAACCAGGTGGCGATGTCAGTAGTGGAGCCGATGTAGAGCATGTCGTCGACGTAGACGATGAGTAGGATGAATTCCCTTTCCTTCTGTACTCGGTACATGCCGTGGTCGTGCGGCAGTTGTAGGAATCCGATTCTGACGAGGCGACCGTGAAGGTGCTGCTGCCAAATCCACGGGGCTTGCGTGATCCCGTAAAGGGATTTTATCAGCTGGCACACTTTTGTAGGGTCGTCGATGAATCCGTGGGGCTGCTCGACAAAGATCTCGGCGTCCACAGGTGCGTACAGGAAAGCATTTGCGACGTCGATTTGGCGCAGTGGTAGTTTCTTCGTGGCCGCGACGGCGAATAGGATGCGCAAGGAGGTGTGACGGGAGACTGGGGCAAATGTTTCTGTGTAGTCGGTTCCGTATCGTTGATCGAAGCCTCGTACGACCCATCGAGCTTTGAATCGTTCGATGGAACCGTCTGCGTTGGTCTTGATGCGGTACACCCACTTTCCCGAGAGGACGTTCTTCCCGTTGAGTGGAACTGGCACGGAGCAGTAGGGGAGTGGTCCGGCAGCTTCCGAAGCTCCGGGTACATCTTCTTCTGCTGCGTCAGCCTCGACAGCACGGTCAGCGAAGGAGCGAATGCCTGCGACACCGTCGGTGGGGTCGTCTGTGTTGGCGATGTTGTCCAGGTAATGCTGCAGCGTCAGTCGTTCGTAGAAGATCACATCACGTGATGCCACGGTGTTTTTGTCTTGTATGTCGAGGATTTTCCATGCTTGAAAATGTTTTGCGATGCCGAGGTGGAGTCCCCATCGTGCTCGTTGAGTGAAGCGTCCTGCTCTGGCTGTGTGGGGTCTGTACTGTACCATGCAGCCGAAAACCCGAAGTAATTTTGTGCTGCCTTTTTTTTGTGTCCACAGCAGGTGCGGTGATGCGTTGTTGGGAAGCGATGACGAGGATAGCAAGTTGTGCAGGTGGACTGCATGGGTCATCGCGTCTGGCCACAGTGCGTTGGGCAGTCTCATCCCCAGGAGCAGCTTCTGCATCGTCGTCTGCAAGGTCCGGTTCATTCTTTCTGCGACCCCCTGCTGCTGGTGAGCGTAGGGTAGAGACACCAGGCGTCTGATTCCTCTTTCCGCCAAGTAGGTCCTGAATCGTTGTGACTGGTATTCCAGTCCGCCGTCGGATTGGAAACTCTTGAGCTTGGTTCCTGATTCTCGTTCAGCGATGGGGAGCCATGTCGTGAAGGCTTCGAAGGCTTGGTCTCGCGTTTTGAGGTTGTAGTGCCAAACATATCTTGTTGCTGCATCAATGAACGTGATGACATAGTTGAATTCGGCTTCAGTGTCGTCTCGAGGCATGTTTAAGATGTCGCTGTAAACTTTTTCCATCGGTGCGTATGCAGGTGCACTCGGATTGTGATGTGATGGAAAAGGTTGGTGGGGAAGATCTGCTTCGGGGCACGTGAAGCACCGTGCGCGAGGTCGTCGAAGTTCTTGACCGCTTGTTGTAAGAAGAGCGTTTCGTTCTAACACTTCGGCTTGGATGGTCTGTAGTACCGTGCTGTTTGCAGGATGCCCAAGGCGTTGGTGCCAGATGTCGTCGGAAGCGCGATGGCCGGGCGAGCGTTGGTACATGTCGGTGTTGGAGAAGAACGCGACGACCGTGGCGGGACTTCGGCAGACTTCTCGTGTGATGGGCATAAGTTGATCTGCTTCGGTTGGCGGTCCTCGGATCGCTGGTGGTGGTACTCGGCTGGGTCCTGCTGCTGCTACTGCAGGTGATGGTTGGGAAAGGACACTTGCTGGTACTTGTCTTTCTTGTCTGATGACTGCTAATGCTCGTGTTCTCTCTGCTGCAGGTATGGTGTTGGAGTGCCAGAATCCATCAGGGTCGAAGTCGGGGTCGAGATCCGGCGGGTGTGTCCAGGCGGCGAACGACACGATTCCGTCGCTGTCGGCAGTACCGCGGTCGGGGACGAAGTCCAACACGAAGACGCCGGACTTCAGGAGAGCACGACCGATGAAGAGGCCGCCCTTCCCGTGGTAAAGGCGAAACTCGTTGGAGTCCGAGTCGCACTCCAGGTGAATCCCTTTTGCCATTAGCTGGCTGACGGTTAGCAGATTGTATCCCAAGTTGTCGACGATTAGAACCTTGTTGAGTTGCAGGATGACATTTGTTTCCATGGACTGTAACTGAACCACTCCTTGTCTGTTTGTTTTCAGGTTCTCGTTGTTGGCGACGGTGATGATGACGTCGCGGTTGAGGCGTCGCTCTCATTGCACGAAGCGTCCGGAAGAACACATGTGTTGACCGCAGCAGCTATCCAAGAACCACGTGTTTCGTCCGGTGGGTTCGGCGTTGGCGACTGCAGCGTATGTCGGGTTGACCTGAAGTCCTTGTGAGCGAGGCGGCGGTAGTTCTTCTTCATCAGGAGCGTAAGTTGGCGGTGATCCGGGTGCGCAGTTGTCGATGTGTACCATGCAGTTAATGATATTCGGTGTATTTTGAGCAGATATGGGAGAGCGCCTCGGTGGACTTTCTTGAGTGGAAGCGACTTGTGGGTCTACTGGACGATAAGCTCGGGGACGTGTGCAGTTGACTTTGGAGTGTCCGGATGTTTGGCAGTTGTGGCAGAACAGCGGTACAATGGTGAGTCCTCTGTTGTCGCGTTGATCTTACCTGCCGCGTCAGTTGTAGTTGTTGTCGTGTCTTCGTTGAGTGTAGAAGACTAATGGTTGTTGTTTCTTTGGTTGTCTTTCTTCAAACAGGTCCATCTCCTGTTGTTCAGCATGGAGCTTGGCACAGAGGTGCATCTCCGAGATTCGTCCGTGGGCGCAAAGGAGCGAGCGGGTGGTTCGCCATTCTGGCCCGAGCCCAGCGAGGACAAGCGTCACGAAGCTTTCTTCAGTGATTGTTCCTCCGCACCGAAGCAGGCGGTCGCGGAGTGTTTGGCATCGACTCATATACTGCATCGCCTTTTCCCCGGTCTTCATCTGTATTGTTGTCAGCTGCTGCATGAGTCTGCTTTGTGTCACGCTGTCGTTTGCTTGATAGAGACACTTGAGGTGATGCCATGCGAGTTCCGCGGAGTTTCCGATACGTTCTGATGCTTTGTTGTTCTTGTGGTGACAGGTTTCGCATGAGAACTGTGTACGCCAGCAGCGACTGATACGTGAAAATTTCTTGCCCTTTTCCAGTGCCGTTGCTTGGGAATGGCAGGGACCTGTTGAAGTATCCCAAGAGATGCGCAGCCTCCATCAGCAGCTCGAACTCAAAGCTCCAGGTAAAGAAGTCGTGCCCGTTGAACGGTGAGGATGTCTGCAGTTTGATCACGTGTGAAAACTGCGCCTGGAGACTAGGTATCTCGTTTGGTGTTTGTTGTGATGCAGCTGCTGTTGGTTGGGCACGGGGCGGCATGAACTCGAACGTCCCCAGTGAAGAGTGATAAGGCGCAAAGGTAGGCGCTTGATTATGTCGCCCGAACGATGAGTTGTCGAGGCTCATCGGCGCTAATCCCATGTTTCCTCCGTTGCTCTGTGTTGAGTGCGCAGGTGTCCTTGTCTGCTGCTGCTGGTCGAAGTGCGACATGAAGCTGAAGAACCTTTCCATAAGGTTCGGATCCACGCTTGAAGAGGGTGATGGGGTCACCATTTCCGGTGCTCTTCCTGTTGTTTCTTGAGCAGCGCCGGTCTCGGTTTGCAGTCCTGAAGTGTGCAATCCAGAGTTGCCGGGTTGAGTGTCTTGGGCGCTGGGTGAGCCCGTAGAGATTTTCTTGCCCTTGCTGTCCATAACTTGTAATCAATGAAGTCGTTGGTGTGCAGATTGTAGATAGAGCGTAGTTGCTGGGAGTTTGGTCTCTGACCAGCTCTCATACCATATTGGGCTGAGAAAAGCCCTTAGGATCTTTCCAGAGACTAAGTCCCAGTTGAAGAATGAGACTTGAGTAGTGCAGCGGAAGTTGAGTAGTTGAACCCTTGTACTGGTATATGAGAACAAGTGATTGATTAAAGTGAACAAGCATACAGCAATATATAGAAAGTAGAAAACAAGCAGTTGTAGAATACAGTTGAATGGCGGTTATCGAGTCGCACAGCGACTCGATTGTCGCTTTGGTTACCATTTTTGCAGTTGTAACGGTCAGTCGCAACCACCGGTTGCGACCCTTCCTTTCGCGTTCTTTGTCCAGCCCCTCGTGTAACCTCCGTTGACTCGCGTACTCGTTACGATCTTCCTCGAGTGTGGTGTTACACTTCAGAAACGCTTAAGTCCTTGAGATATTTCCAACTTTTTTTTTGTCATTCCTCCAATCACCATGCTCAATTTGAATTCGTTTAGTCTCTGTTTTCTAGCCCTGAAAAATCAGCTTTGAACTCAAACCTGCCTTCCATTCTTTACTTGTGGTTTCCATGCACAAGCCAGGCAGCTGAAAGTGGTTTCCGGTCCAGGTCTGCTATTTTCGCTGCGGGCTTTATGCCCCCTCCATAATTCGTTGTCAAAGGACATGCCATGGAAGTGCAAATAAACCCCTCCTTGATTCATAGTCCAAAGACATGTGCCTAACAAGACCTAAGAACAGCAGGCAACAAAGCAGCAGCACCACTCCATGATACAGCAGCAGCTCTCCAAATTACACCTACCAGCAGCACTGGTCACCACCATACTCTGCACATCCCATATCACACATGTTAGTGGCAGCACCAGATTTGGCTCCACCATACAGGCTAGCTACCCAGCAGCACTCCGCTCTATCCACACAACTGAATGCTGCCAGCGTGTCCAGCCTGTCAAATCCCAATGTACAGCTGCTCTCTCTTGCCAAGCCTGTTTCCAGGCCTCTTGCCGCCAAACGTCTTGCCAAATCGCTTGCCATGCTTTGGACATGCTCCAAGCAGCAGCGACAGCAGGTGTGCCTCTGAGCTTGAAGATGGACGCAGGAGCAGGAGGTCTACAGAGAGAATAGAGTAAGAAAGGAATAGAATAGACTAGAATAGAATACTCCAGCTGGCTTAAGGGGGGTAAACACAAGAAGAGGGCTAGGAGATAGGAGGGGAATGGGAGGAAGAGCAAGGAGGGAGTGGAGGAAGGATTGGTGCAGGGGGCGAGAACAGCAGCTCACCCACCCCACTCGAAGATACAATTGTAGCCTCTTGACGCCAGAAGAAAGCTTCCACCCAGCATCGTTCTCTCAACTCAATTACAGACTGCACTTCCGCTTCCACGTCTACTTCCCGCTGCCGCATTACTGCCGGCCGGCCAGCTGGTGCGAGCTGGTGCTCTCAAAGATCTTGTCGGCGTTGCCGACCTCGAAGCCCTCGCGGCGGTGCTGCTCCTGCACGTCCGCCGCCTTGAGGTGCTTGTGCTCGGGCAGCACGAGGCGCTCGGCGAACTCAAGGTAGCTGGAGGGCACGGAGAGGGTGACGCCGTCGGAGAAGTGGAAGGGGCGCGTGTCCGCCACACTGCTGCTCTGGAGGAGCAGCCCATCAGGGGAGGCTGGAAAGGAGAGGGGGGGGAGGGAAGGGGGTGAGGAACGGGAGGACATGAAGGGGGATGGGAAAAGAGAGAGAATGAGACCAAGGGAGGTGGAAAGTGAGGAGCAAAGGTGGGATGACAGTGATAGAAGTTGGGATAGGGCAAGGAACTGGTTGGCAACCCATGCCACTCACTCCCAACCCATCCCTCCCTCCGCGCCCTCTCTTCCCCTTCCTCCTCTCCCCACCCCCCTCCCCCCCCTTCTCCTCCCCCGCCCCCTACCCTTGAGGATGCTGCCGTCGGAGTTGAGTGTGAGGCCCTTGCTCTGCAGGAAGTCGTTGAGGCGGTCGATGGCGAACCCAGGGCTGCCAGCGGGCTGCGCAAACACGTGCGGCTGCGTGCTGTGCACGCTCACCGTCGTGTGGTTCAGCGAATACGCGTTCACCAGCGTCCACGCCGCGTACTCGCTCTCACTGCGCGGGGGGAGAGGGTGGGGGAGGTGGGGGGGAGGTGGGAACGGGGAGAAGGGTGGGGGGAGAGGAGGAGCGAGGGAAGAGGTTGCAGCAGAGGAGAGGGGGGAGGAGGGGAGATAGGTGATGTGAGCGGGGAGAGAGGGAAGTGCAGGAAGAAGTGAAGAGCTCCGCGAGAGATCGCGATCGCGTTTGCCGATGGGAGGTGGCAATGGGAGGTAGCAATGGGAGGTGTCAACATACGCGGCGAGCGTCTGGTAGTCGGTGGAGGATGGCGTGGCCCAGGGCAGCGCGCCGAGCACGCTGGAAACGGCCGCCACTTGCGAGGGCAGGGGGTTGAACGCCGACGTGTGCTTGCGGATCACCTCCTGCACAGGCGGACGACGGCACGAGGGTGGGCGGAGACGATGAGGGGGAAGTGGGGTGGCGTTGGGAAGGGGGCCCCGGGGGGGGGGGTGTTGGAGGGGGGGGGGGAGGGAGCGAGGAGAAGGGTTTGGCGGGGAAGCCCCCACTGGGAGGCGAGAAGGAAGGGTTGGCGGAAAAGGAAGGTTGGGGGAGGTTTCACTACGGGGGTATGGAATCCGCCTGACACACGCGTCCTCTGGCCGACACTCGTTCCCTCGTGTTAGTTCCAAAAGAGACGAACTCGTGACGCGCCAGGGGAACCAAGGAACCAGGGAGTCAATCACCCCACACCCGCGCCCACCACGTGCGGCACGTGTGCCCGCACACGCACCTGCGCCAAGGCGCTCATCTTGTCCACTTCGAGCTCCGAGATGAAGACACGTGGCAGCTGCCGGAGCCCCACGCCGCCCTCGTCCGTCTCGTCGCCGGCGAGCGAGTGCTCGGGCGGCGCGAACCAGTAGGCGCGGAGCTTCTTGGCGGGAAACGTGAGCATGTCGCGACGCACGTAGCCGAAGTCCAGGAACACCTTGGCGAGTGACTCAATACCGCAGCCGTCCGCCTGTAACGAGTGACGGAAACACGAGTTGGATTTGCTCAGGTTAGAACCAAGTAGGACAAACACAAACGCCCTGCAGTAGTATTACTACTAGCAGTAGTAGCAGGACGCGTCGCTGACGTCACAGTGAAAGGGAACACGGGCGCTCCAGAAGGTGCCTCGAAGGTGCGGCGAACGTACCCCGAAGGTGCGGAAGGCGAGGTGGTCCTGCACGATGGGGCGGCCGCCGTCCGCCTCTTGCACGAGGCGCACGCCCTTCTGCGACGTGGGGTTGCGCGCCAGGTAGCTGCGCAGGAGCGCCGCGAGGTACGGGCGCATCAGCGGGGCAACGTCGGACGCCGCCGCGGGTGCTTGCGCCTCGACGGGGGCGGCCACGCCGCTGGCTGCTCGCACGTGCGCGATAGCAGCGGCCTTGGAGGACCAAGACGGAGGCACGGGAACAAGGAGGAGAAAGGGGAAGACGGGAAGAAGGGATGAGGGAATATTGAGGTGACGAGGAGAAACAGACACCGCAGTGAGTAAGGATGGGAGAGAAACTACGAACAGGAGAGACGCGATGCCTTCGGAAACACAACACAGTGGCCGCTCCAGAGAAGAGGTGACTAGCTGCGCTGGATCGTGTAGCGGTGAGCGAGCTTTCGCCTTTCCCGTGAGAAGTGGCTGTGTGGAGTTCGGCCTTGTTCATCGAGAAAGAGAGCAGAGTCTACGGGATTGAACTCACCTTGACAGGGCTACCGCCAGCAGCAGCAGACGACGCCGAACGGAAGGGGACGGCGACACGAGAAGCCTCGAGAGCAGGCACGAGCTTCACGGGGCCGAGCAGGGCCGGCATACGGGCGCGGAGGCTGGACAGCGCCGCGGCGCAGGAGGAGAGTGCAGACGCCATGGCGGTCGATGGAACACCGGAGGATCGCTGCGCGGTATGCGGAGGTGGCTGACGGGGGACAGCACGGACGACTAGTCGGTTGAGAGATGGTGAGTGGCGGGGAAGCTAGGCGACTGGCGTTAGGGAGCGTGGCCTGGAGCGCGGGGAGCGATCCTCGACCAGAAAGGAAACGCACACGGAGTGGAGGGACGAGTCCACCTGCGTCTGCGTAAGGCGACTAGATTGTGAGGAACTGAGGTGGAGTGACCAGTTTTGTTCTCGATTTCTCGATGTTGGTCGCATGGCTGCGCGATCGAGAATCGAGATTCGAGGGAGAGGTGGAGCTGAGCTGACTGCTGCACTGCTGGTGAACCAAAACCAGACCAGAAACTATTTCCCAACTTCAAGGGATGGGATACTGAAATTGTGCAGGGCATGCAATTGCACTGTTGGCAGCTTCCCGGGCATCCAAAAGAGATTCTGCTTGTGCCCAAGCAGCAGGAGGTGGTGGAGTATTATTCTTTGGGCAGGGATGAACAAGTCTTGCATGCCCCGAAACTGTCTATTTACACTGTACAGTTCTGCCCTCCTCACATGCCCGAGCGTGCCTTGCAATGCAACCACCATGTGCTACGGTTTCGTGGCTGACGAAACATTTGGGAATCGGGAATTGCTCTCGTGGCAGTTGCCCTCGGTTTTGGAGGTCGTGGCTTTTCGTGTGGGCATTGGCCCTCGGTTTTAGGTGGTTCCTGCGGCGCCGCGGCCCCACGCGAGCCGTCCCGCGCTCGCCTCATCCATCCCAGGCTGGTGAGGTCACTCGTGTGTCGTGTCCCCGCTGGAGCAGGGAGAAGATGAGTTGGCTGTAGGCGCTTTTGGGCGAACCCTGTGTGAACCGCCTTGCCAAGTGGACACGCTGCTTACCGTTGATCGGCCCTCGGGATGATTCTTTAACGATCGTGGCGGTCAAATGCGCCGTTTGCTAAGGCTTGTGACAGCGGTGGTTCAGTCGCAGCGCAGCAGAGTCTTCCTGATCATTCTCCACGTGTTGTAACTTGAAAGCTGCAACTCATGGCCGAGCCCAACTGGACACACTCTATATGAGGCTGTTATATGGCTAGAGGTGACAACAAGGGTGGTGTGATATAGCACACATAAGTGCTGTACATAAAAGAAAGCTCACTAGTACGAGCACTATGCGCCTAGGTTGATGGTTAAGGTCACAAGACGGACGTAACAGCCCGATTTATTTAGGGGAATGTGAGCTAATAGCATTTATAAAAGACATTCGCTATCGAGATAGTCACTAGACATGCGAATTCCTCGTCCATATTACACAAATTTTATCGTCTTTATTTTATGAAGCATAACGGGGATGTTTTGGAAAGATGGGTGAATGCTGAATGACTTCTAGAGCTGGTTGATGAAAGGCTAAACGTCCTAAATCAACATGAGAACTAACCACGGCTTGATAGCCATAACGAGTCACCTAGATGAGAGGATATCTGACCTTGGACCACAAACTCAGTGTAGGGAGTCGAGTTCGTGCCACCAACTGCACTGCAGACTTCGTTATTGCGACAAAACTGTCAAATTTTGGACAAATACACCCATTTGAATCACGCTCAGGGCATCCATCCACCTTCCCCCCAGATTTAGTACAGAACTCCACTGTACCACTAGCCAAACCCACCAGCGATGGGGTGGGATCATGGGAATCGGGGGGATGGGTTGGGGAGGGAATCTGCCACTCGGTGCTTCGCTTTGCTCTCCCCTCACCTCCCCCTCTCCTGTCAACCTCCCCTCCAGTCACACCCCTCCCAGCAATCCTGCCTTGGGAGTTGGCCTGTCTCTCGGCTCCGCTTCACTTTTTCCCTGCCAGGATGCAATTCTCACCCACACCAATTCCACCAACCATCTGAACCATACCAACCACAGATCCCGAAGGGGTGGTTCGTTAGTCTGACGAAGGAGCAACGTGTGCTGTGTGTGCTGCTCTGGCTTCGAGGCACGCGCAGGCAGCGACCGCACGTCCTTCTAATCGAACTTCAGCCGTTCGTAGAGCTATCTTCATTGATACGAATCATCGTCCTGGAAATATTGCCAAACTGCTCGTTTATCGGTCTGTCATTGGTCGACCCCACCAGCCAACATGTCGATGACTGATCTCTACAAGGTCTTTGACCAGACGGTCAGGGACATGTACGTAGTGTTGCGAAATTGCTTTCAGTAATGAGATTTTTTTTTTCTGCCTCGTTATCTACGTGGATTGCCTCCGTTCCCTCGTGCTCCATGCCATTGCCATTATTATTTTCATCGTCAGCTTTTACACGTCTCGAAAATGTTTAATGGCTGCAAGCGAATCTTCTATGGTGCAGTTTCGCCCTTGGTCTTGCACGAAATTGATCGGCACGTGGTGTTCTCGCTGCTTTCTGCTGTTTGCAGTACTAGGGAGGTGAATCGCAGCATTTTGAAGGTTCCTGAGATCGAACAAAAGGTATTCCTGCGATCTTGCTAAGGCGTCGTACTTATTAACCACCCATACGTTCCCTTATCTTGAAACCCTTCAGACTTTTATGTTTCTCCATGCCGTTAGGCCTCGGCACATCGCGTTCTTAATACACATGATTTTATGGTCACGTAATGAAGCAAGCCCTTAGGTATTCAACCTTCTAGCACTATCTCCTTTTTGTTGTTTTGCTCTGCAGACGTTGGATGCGACAAGCAACGAGCCATGGGGTCCTCACGGCCAGGCCATGAACGAGATCGCCAGCTCCACCCGCAACTAGTCAGCTTCTCCCCCCTCCCCCTTTCTACTGTAGCCTGCTTAGTGTCTGTCCAGCTGAGATTTTGTTTTCTCGGTTTTTTCCCCTTTCTTCACGATATGCGTACCATTCTGCTGCGTTCATGTCGATCCCAGCTGCAAATAGTTTGCCTGTGTCGAGCCGTTTCTTGTAGCTCGCATCTGAGAGCGTTTCAAAGCAGTTCGAGTTGATGATGCGATCCCGAGGGTGTTGATTAACTCACTTTGGTCTCGTTTTCTTCCAGCCCGGACTTTCAAATGATAATGGCGATTCTGTGGAAGCGAGTCCAGGACTCAGGAGCCAATTGGAGACATGTGTACAAGGTGCGCGCTCTCTGGGCCGTTTCTGTCCCCTTCAGGCTCCGCGATCGAGTCTCCCCTTAGGAGTTGCTCTTTTTTTTTCCGTTGTGGCAGCCACTAGTCGCCTGCGCTTTCGGCGCACGGCCGTATGCTCAGCACGTAACTCCCGATCTTTCAGTTAACCACTATTTCGCTTCTCCTCTCTGCATCTGTCGCTGCTTTGCGGTGCCGTCCGACCAGGCGTTGACGCTGATGGAGTTTCTGGTGGCGAACGGCGCGGAGCGCTGCATCGACGAGTTCAGAGACCATATGTACCAGCTGCAGGTGTGCTGCTCGCGCGTGGTCGTTCTGCGCGTGCTGTGAGGTAGAGATTCGAGGGGAGGAGCAGTGGACGTGTAGGCTGGTAGGGACGAGGAGAGGAAGAGGGAGTGAAGGACTGACGGACGGACGGACGGATGGACTTGTCGAGCAAGAAGGGAACGAGTGAGTGAGTGAGTGGGTGGGCTACGAACGGAGGGACTGAGAGCGGGATGGAGGGAGTGACGAGGTGAGGTGGGCGGTGCAGGGGGAATAGGGGAAGACAAGAAGGGGAATAGAGTTGTGCATTTGTGCGTCGTTCAAGGGCAATGGAGTAGATGTTCTCTGATTTGTTTCACCACCATTCTTCCTCTTGCTTGATTGTTTCTTAACCGTGGATCTACCAACCCCCCGTCTGCCGTTTGCCATGGCTGTGGAACGCGATGCAGAGACTGACGGATTTCCAATACGTGGACCCGGACGGCAAGGACCAGGGCATCAACGTGCGCAAGAAGGCTCAGACCCTCGTGGCGCTGCTGAGGGACACGGACAAGATCCGGGAGGTCCGGGAAAAGGCGGCGGCTAATCGCAACAAGTACGTGTGGCCGGAGGAGCGATTGGGACGTGGTTATTTATCGAAGGGATGGTGCAGCGATGGTGTAGCTGTTACAGCGGGCAGTATCCAGCTGCCGTAGACTATCTCTCATGCCATCTCCCATGATGGGTCTGTCTGCACGAGTTCCCTCTCTCTGAAACGCGAAATGGTACTCATTCATCCACTTTGTACCCCAAACTCATGAACTAGCATCCCACTTCACTCCCCCCCCTTCCCCCCACCTCCTCCCCTTCCCCCCACCTCCTCCCCTTCCCCCCTCCCCCCCCATCCCATACCCACCCTTCCGTCCCCCCCGTGTTCCCCTCCAACATTGGCCTTTGCTGCCTTCCCTCCGCATTTCTCCAGGTACGGTGGCATTTCCTCCGCTGCCTACCGTGCGGGTAATGCGTTTGGCAGCAACGCCGGCGGCTTTGGCAGCAGCAGCAGGAGCGGCGGCGGCGGCGGCGGTTATGACAGCTACGGTGGCGGCGGGGGCGGTGGCGGTGGCGGTGGCAGCCGTTACGACGGTTACGGCTCCAGGGACGACTTTGGACCTCCCCGTCGGGCTGGTGGCTATTCCGAGGACAGGGACGGGGGTGACCGGTACGGCTCCCGTGGGCGGGATGACAGGGGCGAAGGGGGCAAGAGCCGCTATTCCTCACGTTATGGGGAGGAGGAGGGGGAGCGTGGAGGGAGCCGTTACGCGGATTCTAAGTACGATGAGGGCAGAGGGGGGCGTGGTGGTGCGAGGGATGACGAGGAGCGGGAGTATGGCCGCCCTGGGTACTCTGCGGCTAGTGAGGGGTCGCAGCAAGGCCCTGCAACCTTGGACGATGATGACTTTGAACCCCGGTATGTAGTTTGTCTTTCCTCCCAGCACCTGCTCCCCCCTTCTCGTGTCTGTGCGCTGCGCTATGGTTTCCTCTCCAACTCTCGCACTCCCGCCCTCCTCACTGTCAACCTCCCTCTTCTTCGCCCCCCATTCCACCCAATCCCATCGCCCTCCCGTTCTCTTTCCCACTCCCTGTCGACTTGTATCCTTGTATTCAGACATTCATAGATGCTTCATCGAGTCTGTTTTTGCCATGCGTCAAGCGCAGCGTTATTCATCCTCTGGTGTGCCCTTGACCACCCCTTTCTTACCACTCCTCCCTGGAATGCAGTGGATCGTCCAAGCCCTCTCAGCCTGCTGCCTCTGCTGGCGATGATGATTTTGATGACTTTGACCCCCGCGGCGCTCCACCTGCAGCTGGTAAGTGCTGGGCTCCCATCTGCTTCGTTTTTAGCTTGAATAGAGCAAGTGCACAATGAACAGCAAGCAGAACCACGAGAGTGGAGGCGGGGTTCCGCATTCCCTCGTTTTCTCCTACTTCTGCATTGGTTGTTTGTACGTCATCTCTCTCCCTCTGCTACTTGCCTCCCTTCTCCGCTCCTGCTTCCCTTCGCCCCTTCCTTTTGTCCCTATCCTCCCGTCACATCCCTTCCTTCCCTCCCTGCAGCCAAGCCGTCCGCCCCTCCCCCTGTGACTGCGCCTGCAGCTGCCGCCCCTGCTGCCAACCTGCTGGATGACCTCTTCTCTGCCCCTGCACCAGCTGCTCCTGCTGCCCCTGCAGCACCAGCAGCTGACCTCTTCTCTGGCGCAGACTTCCAGTCTGCTCCTGCTGCAGCAGCAGCACCGCTTGGGGTATGTTGCTACTCGTTTTTCATGCGCCTGCTGCATTTACTTCTTCGCAAGTCGTCAAGGTTTTTTTTTTTTTTTTTTTTTTTTTTTTTTTTTTTTTTTTTTTTTGCGTTTAAGTTTGGCTGGTTGACTGCATCCCTTTCGTTCCTACCCCTTCTTCTCTTCTTCCTTTCCTCCTGCTGCTCTCCTTCACCCTCTTTCCATCCCCCTTCATTTTCTTGCTTGCTTCAACCACGCATTACCCCCCCTGTTTTGCCTTCCAATATTTGCTTCTTTCCATCCCCAATTTGGTTGGTTTCAGGGTGGAGTCGACCTCTTCTCTACGCCTGCACCAGTGGCAGCACCTGCTCCTGCTGCGGCCGCTGCTGTGGACCCTTTTGCTGCGTTTTCGGCCCCTGCTCCTGCTTTTGCCGCCCCTGCTGCAGATGACTTTGGTGACTTTTCAGCAGCAGCTCCCGCTCCTTCCGCTTCTGCAGCCTCTGCTGACCCCTTTGCTGCCATGCTTGGTGCCACAGCCCCTGCTGCTGCCCCCTCTGCTTTCCCCTCTGTCTCTGCCCCCGCTGCTGGTATGGGCACTCCTGCTGCTGCTGGGCGTCCATCTGCTGGGGCTGCACCGCAAGGGGGCAAGTCGCCTGGGCTGTGGGCGGATGCTCTCAGCTCTGGTCTCATTGACCTCGCCATTACTTCATGTGAGTACTACACAGGCTGTATTGATGATGCTGGTGTGGCCCACTTGTTATGCGCGAGGCTGTGAATGAGCTTGAACTGTTATGGAGGAGAGAGCACGAGAGGTGGTGGGGGCTTGGGGTGAAAGGGGAAAGGAGCAGCGAATGTGCCTTGTGGTGGTCATGTGTGGACAACTTCCTCTACGTCATTTGTCTGTGTGTGCCATGTGTGTACACTCTCAACCTGGAATACTTCTCTACACATGCTGCCTTCTTCTGCTGCTTGCCCTTGATTCTCTTACCTTGTGTGCTCACTCTTCCTGGGTCCCTGCTCTCTTGTCCCGCCATTTATCCCACCCCTCCTACCTCCCAGCCAAGGATGAGAATCTTGCTGCTCTGGGCATCATGACAGATTCAGCCTCCCTCAAGGCAGACCCCAAATCAGTCGTCTCCCCGAATTCCACCTCAGCAGCAGCCACTGCTAGCCCCAGCCCTTTCAACATGGGAGGCGCATCCATGGGTAGGGCCATGGGCCAGGGCTCTGGGAAGGGAATAGCAGGAGCAAGCACCCTCACCACGCCTGTGCCTGCCCCTGCAGCAGCTGCTGCGTTTGGCATGGCTGGAATGGGTGGTCTAGGGGTGATGCCTGGTGCCGCCGTGGGAGCAGTGCCTACCATGCCAATGGGATTCGGTGCTGCTCCGGCTGCGGGTGGTGCTGGTGGCATGGGAGGCTTTGCTGCGTTCCCCATGCCTGGTGCTGCTGCTGTGCCTGGAGCAGGGGTTGCTGGGATGGGTGGTGTGGCTGGTGGAGTGGGTATGGGTGCAGCAGGCATGTATGGCGGAGTGGGTGGACCTGGAGCCACAGGAGGTGCGGCTGGTGGTGCTCCTCTTTTCAATGCGTTCGGCTAGTCTTAGGGCGACTTGGGACATGGGAGGTTGGACTATGAGTCAGGGGGATTGAGTGGGGAAATTGGACAATGAGGTATGTCTCTTTCTGCCTAAGTGTCGGATGGTTTTGAGGTTGAGTATATGCAAGGTACTCGGCTTACAGGGGCGTTGGGTTGAGATGCGGTTTATTGAGGCGGTGTACTCCTGTCAGATCTGTTTGGTCTACCAGTGTTTCAGACAGCATTCTACAAGCAAGTGATGGTGAACCATGTGGAATTGATGTGGGTTGTCGCTTATCGTTTTTAGTCCCCCGTGGACCGAAGTCCGGCCAATGAGCCAATCGGGGCAATGACTCGAGCCTGTCAACCGACCTGCAGTGGGGTTTGCCGAGCTCAAGCTGTCTGTCTGGTTCGGTGGGAGTCTTGGCTTGGCCGAATGGTTCAGCACGGTTCTTCCGGGAAAGGCATGCACGGTATGGCTGGCCCCACAGCGCCGTACCCTTGTTTTGTCCGCGACGCGGAGTGTATTAGCTTCGGAGGTCCATGGAGGCGTGTCAAAATCGTATAGTACCAATACCGTTTTGCACCGTTCAAAATCTTATCTAACCAGTCTAGAAGCACAAAGCAACTTACTCAACCGCACTAAATGAGCAGAAGAGGACTCCTCGTGCACCGCATCCAGTAGGGCTGGATGCAGTCCAGGCCAGCCCAGGATGGCCTTCGCTTCGCCTTCGTACTCAGCCTAAGCTTTTGACCCGCTCGCGGGTTTGGCAATTGTCCGAGGAAATCGCGCGCTTGACGGAAATTGTGGAGACCTTAAAACGGTCAACCCTTTTTGCTGGCGATTTATGGCATGCCCCCGTTACCCAGAACGATCGACCCCCTCTCTCAACTGTACCCATTTTTGTTTTCATTTGACGAAATGTGGAATTGAAATTCTGGACTCTTGTATAAACATTTGCCTCCGCCCAGCACAATTTACGCGCGTGCACGCATTTGATCCGTCGCGACAAAAATACTGCCCGTTGCAAGAGACAAATCTGTACACCTGAATTCCGACATTGGAACAAACTGATTACAAATCGCGCTGGATGTATTTGGAGATTAGAGGGGACCTGATTGGGACTAGCTCGAGCAAAGCATTTTGTGGACACCACGTGTAAATGGGGGGCCAGCAGCCAGGGGCAGTACTTTTGTCGCGACCCATTAAATGCGTGCACACGCGAAAAATGTACTGGGCGGAGGCAAATGTTTGTACAACAGACCAGAATTTCATTTCCACATTTCGTCAAATCAAAACTAAAATGGATACAGTAGAGAGGGTTGATCGTTTTGGGTGATTAGGGCATGCCATACATCCAATAAAAAAGGTCGACCTTTTTAAGGCCTTTTCGATTGCAGTCGAAAAGCGCGATTTCCTTCAATCTTCCGCTGGTTTGTTGATATGGCGTTGTAAACCAGCTTGGCTCGGAAGATTGCTGAGGCTGGCACCAATCGCAAGACTGTCTCGCCCTTGCCCTCCCTGGTCAACGATTGCTTGCGGCATTCGTGAGGTCGTGGCATTTCGGCTCCTAGGTTTTATACTCCGGAGCCTAGGCTATGGAGGCTAGAGTCACCTGGAGGTTAGGCTATAAAGGCTACAGAGTTAATCAGTGAGAGCAACCCTCCTAGATCGACGTTCAGCGAAAAGGCGAATTAGAATAGCGGGCATCGATTTTGCTCCTCGTCTGTCTCGCCGCATCAACAACCACATAATCGCAACTTGCACCAGGTGGGAATGCAGCATCAGCAGAATCTTGCTCAATGCCCCTCATCCATCGGCCTCCAACCTTCGACCTCCTGATCTTGAGTCAGCTCGAAAGCTGATCCATGGCTGCTCAACATTCTTGCCGCCTCGCTCCGTACTTTCCTCGCCCATCGTCCCACCCACTTCCCCCCCTCGCCCGTCACTCCACTCGCTGTCTTCTTCCTCTTCCGATTCCTGACAGGCTCTCTTGCCACGCGCCTCACTCTCCTCACTCTAACCGCCCTCTCTCCTCCGTGTCTGCCCTTTCCCGTTTTAAATGCAGGCCGTTTACCTTGGACCGTGCTGTTTTTGTTCGTCTGTGTGAGTGCGTGAGCGGCCATCGCCTGTTTGTGCAGCCATGGCGGCACGCCCGAGGTCCTCGGGGCTCTCAACGGAGGTTAACGCACGCGTCGTTGCGCTGATGGCTCGCCTGACGGCCCTACTCGCGTGCTGCCACATCAGCTCCTCGCAGTTCCTTCCACACAAGGTGAGTGAGAGGGGGGGAGGAGAGGGGGAGGTGAGAGGGGGAGGTAAGGGTGGGAAGTGAGGGGGGAGGAGGATAGAGTGAGAGGGGAGGTAAGGGTGGGAGGTGAGAGGATGAGGAGGATAGAGTGAGAGGGGGAGGTAAGGGTGGGGGGTGCGATGGCAGGACTTCGTAACAACCACAGGCGGCTCGTAGCAGGTTGCTGGAACGGTTGCATTGCTGTACGTAGGACGGCGGGCAGTAGAGCGTCGTGTGAGTGACAGTAGGGCAGCACATAGCGCGCGGCATGGCGTGGGGCGTGGCGTGGCGTGGCGTGGCGTGGCGTGACGGGGTGGGGTGGGGGAGACTAGGACAACACTCCCGCAGATGCCCTCATCCGAGACTGCTTGCACACCGATCCGCATTGCAAGCCCTTAGCCAGCGCGCCCTTGTTCAAGTCCACTCAAAGAGCGCTCTCCCCCCCCCGTGCTTCCTTTCCATCACCACCCACCCACCTTGCATGATCTATCCCCGCAGGGAGTGCTCGAATCCGACTCCCCCTTCGCAGCAGCTGCTGCTCGCGCCAGCATGCCTGAATGGGCCACGGCCATGCATCACCAGCAGCAGCAGCAGCAGGAGGAGGAGGAGAGCACGCCTGTCATGGTGTCGCCACTCTTCTTCCACTCCAGCAGCAACGTTGACGATCGCACCCAGGTGAGGGAGACAATGCCAAGGGGAATGCCATGGGAGAAAATGCCAAAGGGAGAAAATGCCTTTAGAAACAACAGTGCCCCCAGTGGATGGCGCTTCAGTTGCTCACGCATCCATTTGATCCTCTGCTTCTGTGGGCTCACGACAAAGACAACACTGCCCGCTTACCATCTCAAGCCCCTCCCATACAATACAAGCTGCTCCAACACTGTAAACAAATCAAAGCCACAAGCGAGCCCTTCCAGTTTCCATCACACCACCTCTCCTTCTTCCCCCCCCCCCCCCCCCCATCCCCTTCTCCTGTCTGAACGCCCGAATTTCGTACTTCGCCGTACAGTCCTTGACACTATACGCAATCCCCTGGACCCCATCCATTCTACCCCCCTGTTGTTCCCATTTCGTCTCTGGCTTTCGCAGCACCGAGTGCTTCAGCAGTCGCCCAGCACATACTTCGCCGTACAGAACCTCACCACGCCCTATCAATACGGGTGCGCGCTCTCCATTTCTGCTTCTTCTGGGACCTCTCCCCACAACCGTCCCTGTCTCCTGGCCCCTTTCCTTTCTCTCGCACGCCGCTTCCCTCCTCCCGCTCCCCTCTCTCCTACGGAATCATGTCCTCCCTGTGATGTCCTCCCTGTGATAGCCACTTCATCCTCCCTGTAGCAGTCAGTCAGTCATATGTCAGTCGTACGTACATCAGTCATACACGTCAGTCACACGTCAGTCACACGTCAGTCACACGTCAGTCACACGTCAGTCACACGTCAGTCACACGTCAGTCACACGTCAGTCATACATCAGACATCACAGACTCATCCGTCAGTCACCCCCGTCTCCCTTGTATCCCCTGGCTGCCCTTCGCCCAGTCTCACCTGTTTCCGGGTCTAGCTTTCTTCCTACTCCTTGTCCTGTGTTGCTTACTCCCTTAACTTCTCCTTCTCCTAGTGTCCAAGCTGTTTCCATACCTCTGCTTATCCCCTTCCCCAAAAAGCCGCTGTTTTTGGATTGGAGCGTATGTTTCTTCGACATCTGAATGCCGAAATAGGTCATGAGGCTTGCTTGCGCCAACCCCACTGGTCACATTTGTCTTCACCACCAATCCCGCCCACCCAGATGCATCTTCCAATCAAAACTGTCTGTCCCCTCTCCCCCTCTCCCCGTCTCCCCATCTCCCCCTCTCCCCCTCTCCCCGTCTCCCCGTCTCCCCCTCTCCCCGTCTCCCCCCCTCCCCCTCTTCCCCTCCCCCCAGTCGTTTCTACACGCCGGTGGTCATAGGGTCGCCGCCCAAGATGTTCATCGCCATGCTGGACACGGCAGTCAGCCTCTCCTGGCTCTACTGCGACTGCATCGACTGCCCCACCGACTCCGCTGTCATCAAGGTGTGGGGGGGGGGGGGGGGGGGCGAGGGGTTTGTGGGAAGAGGGGGGGGGTGACGGGGAAGGGGGCTGAGGGGAAGGGAGGGAGGGAGAGTAGAGGGCGACTCCGTCTGTGTCATCAAGGTGGGGGGGGGAGGAGGGAAGGGGGTGGGGGTGAGGGAGGCAAGGGAGGGAGGGAGGAGAGATGATCAATGCAAGGAACTGTTAGCGCGCTACTGCGACTGCATCAAGTGCCTGGGCAATCCAGCTGGCATCAAGGTGTTGGGGGAGGGAAGGAGGGGAGGGGAGGGAGAGTATGAAAGGGTATGAGAGAGGATGAGAGAGGATGAGAGAGGGGGAAGGTGGTAGGGGAGAGATGGGATTCTGGAAACAGTGAGAGCAAGGGAAGCGACAGGTTGATTGATAGAGTGGTGGAGAAAAATAGCTTTGTGTGTGAGTCAACCCAACGAGGGCCCTGGCGGTCACTCTCGATTTCCTCTCATCCATGTGACTCCTGAATCCACTTTAGCACTCCCCCCCCCCCGTATTCTGAGCGTTTCGGTCTTCCCCCCCACCCCACCCCCTTCCCCCCCTCCCCCCAGCAACGCACGTTCTACGCGACTGCCAACTCGTCCTCCTCGCCCTTCTCGTCCTCCTCGCCCTTCTCGTCCTCCTCGCCCTTCTCGTCCTCCTCGCCCTTCTCGTCCTCCTCGCCCTCCTCGCCCTCCTCGTCCTCCTCGCCCTTCTCGTCCTCCTCGCCCTTCTTGTCCTCCTCGCCCTTCTCGTCCTCCTCGCCCTTCTCGTCCTCCTCGCCCTCCTCGCCCTCCTCGTCCTCCTCGCCCTTCTCGTCCTCCTCGCCCTCCTCGCCCTCCTCGCCCTTCTCGTCCTCCTCGCCCTCCTCGTCCTCCTCGCCCTCCTCGCCCTTCTCGTCCTCCTCGCCCTCCTCGCCCTCCTCGTCCTCCTCGCCCTTCTCGTCCTCCTCGCCCTTCTTGTCCTCCTCGCCCTTCTCGTCCTCCTCGCCCTTCTCGTCCTCCTCGCCCTCCTCGCCCTCCTCGCCCTCCTCGCCCTCCTCGCCCTCCTTCCCTGCACCCTCTCTGAGGAGCCTAAAATTTTGACTCCCCCACCCCACCCCCCGTTCTTCCGCCACCCCTCCCCCCAGCAACGCACGTTCTACTTGACGGCCAACTCGTCCTCCTCGTCCCTCCTCACGTGCACGAGCCCAGCGTGCCGCCAGGTGCCGTCCTCAGGCTGCCAGGCGCTGCCCTCCAACTTCTCGCGCTCCAACACCTCCTGCGACCTGCGCTACGCGCCCGCGGGGGACCTCGTGCAGGACGGCGTGCTGCTCAAGACGGTCAAGGGCGGAGTGCTCGGGGAGCAGGCCGCGAGAGTGAACTTCGGGTGAGTGAGTTGCCTTCGGGCCCCCCCCATCGTTCCGTCCGTGTGCGCCGCGGAGGATCTCGTGTGGGGGACCTGGTGCAGGACGGCGTGTTGCTCAAGACAGTCAAGGGGGGCGTGCTGGGGGAGCAGGCCGCGAGGATCAACTTCGGGTGAGTTGCCTTGCCTCCCTGCCCGCACTTGCATTGACTCGTCTTTCCTTGAGGCACCTCAAGATATGGTACAGGCCCGTATGGGGGCTCATGCACGACGGCGTGCTGCTCAAGTTGGTCAGGGGTGGCGTGATGTGGGAGTAGGCCGCCCGAATAAACTTCAGGTATGTTGCCTCGTCCCTCTCCTGCCGTGCTGGCTTCCCTCCCCCCCCCCAAACCCCAGCCCCCCGTTTCCTCACTCTCTGGAAGCTCCTCCTCTTCCTCGTGTCGTCTACTCTACTCCCCTTCTTCCTCCTTCCGTTTTTGTTCTTCAAATGGCTCCTTCACGTCATTGCTCCTTGCAAGCCTTTTCTCTCGTCCATCCCCCTCCTCCTTCTTAACCCCCTCCCTCCCTCTCCCTCCCCCTCCCTCCCCCTCCCTCCCCCTCCCTCCCCTCCCTCCCCCTCCCTCCCCCTCCCTCTCCCCTCCCTCCACCCTTCCCCCCTCTTCTCCCCCCTCTCTCCCCCCCCAGCTGCGGGCGCATGGAGCTGGACTACAGGGGGTCATCAGCCGACGGGGGACTCACTCGTCAAGGCACTACAAAATAACCACACCACTCCCCTTCGCCCCACCCCACTCCCCCTCCCCCTTCTCTCTCCCCCCAGCTGCGGGCGCATGGATCTGGGCTACGGGGGGTCATCAGTGGACGGGGTGCTGGCTCTCGGCGCGCGTCCCTACGGGCTGTTGGCGCAGCTGAACGCGTCGCTGGGGCTGGCGCGCGCCTTCTCCCTCTGCTACGACAGCGGCAACCAGCGCGGCGCGCTGCTCATTGGTGATGCTGATGTGCCCCCGGGCATGGCGTCCACACGCCTCGGGCTGCTGCCTAACGTGTCAGTACCAGCAGGAGAGGGGGGGGGGGTGGGATGTGGGGTGCTGGGTCTGGGCTGGGCTGGGGGAGTGGTTCGGAAGCTAGTTTAGCCGGCGCCAAAGCTCGCAAGGCGGAACATGCTGGGTGATATGGCAGTGCGTGCGGTGGCGGGGTGATATGCCCCCTGCCAGCTCGCGCTACTTCCTCAACGTGGCGGGCATGTGCGTGGGCAGCAGTGTGGTGGGAAACAGCTAGGAGCTGGCAACACTGGCGAACAACACTCCCCTCTCCCTCACCCTCTCTACCCCTCACTCCCCTCGTCCCTCCCTCCCACCCCTCCCCGAAATCTGCCCCCTGCCAGCTCGCGCTACTTCCTCAACGTGTCAGGCATGCGTGTGGGCAGCAGTGTGGTGGGCAACAGCTCGGGGCTGGCGGCGCTGGTGAACGGCACGCAGGGAGGCTTCACAGTGGACACCGCCATGCTCTACTCGGGGTTCCGCAGAGACGTGTTCGACGCCATGGTGCTCTTGGTGCGATGGGGGGATATGGGGTGTTTGTGGTGGTTTTCAGACGGGGTGTGGTTATGGTGAGGCGTTGGGAATGGGGGTGGTTGTGGTGAGGTTTGGCGAGGAGTGGAGTGGGATTGATTTATGACTTGATTCTTTAAGGCGCTAGTATAACCGTGCTGTGTATGGTGAGTCATGGTAGCTGTGCTTAGGGGTTGTGGTTGTGGTGGCATGGTAGGTGTGGGGAGCCATGTGGTGGTTGCAGATGGGGGAGAGAGGGAGGGAAAGGGGGCGAGGGTGGATGAGTGAAAGGTGAGGAGAGACAGTCGTTGCAACAGAAAGTATGAACTGCGATACCGTTCTCACCTGCCCACCTGCCCACCTGCCCACCTGCCCACCTGCCCAGCTGCCCAGCTGCCCAGCAGCCCGGCTGCTCAGCTGCCCAGCTGCCCAGCTGCCCAGCAGCCCGGCTGCTCAGCTGCCCAGCTGCCCAGCTGCCCATCAGCCCGGCTGCTCAGCTGCCCAGCTGCCCAGCTGCCCAGCAGCCCAGCTGCCCAGCTGCTCAGCTGCTCTCACCGCTCAGTCCTTCCACTCTCCTTGCTCATCTCCCTCCGATCATCTTCCTTCGCTCATCTTTCCACTCACTCCCCCACCCTCTTCTCGTGTACATGTGTGTGCGTGGGTGCGCATGCGTGTGCATGGGAGTGCGTGTGTGTGTGCGAAACTGTGCGTGACCAGCTGTTTGCGGACGCTTCGCTGACGCAAACTGGTTCGCAGGACAAGGCCTGTGTGGTCAACGACGAAGCGTGAGCTCCCTCCTTCCCATTCCATACTCTGTTGTCCCCCTCCGCTCCCCCTTCCGCTCCCCCTTCCGCTCTCCCTTCTGCTCCCCCTTCCGCTCTCCCTTCCGCTCCCCCTTCCGCTCCCCCTTTCTCTCCCCCTTCCATGGTGCTTGCACACAAGTTTATTGCTCTCCTCAACATCCCGTGTCATGCCTAGCTTTCTCATCTTCCGCCCCTCTTGAATCACACAAACCCAGCCAAACCCCCTCCGCACCCGCCTCCCCCTTACGTACCAAACACCCCACCTTTCTAATCCTCTCTCGCCCCTACACAAGATGCTAAAGCAGTAGCAGTACCCGCACCTCACTTCATGACATACCTCTCCTCCATCCTCGTTCCACTCAAACACTGCCGCACATGCATCTGTGCACCCTCCACCCATCCCCCATCCCCCATCCCACGTTACCATGCACCCGCCATCCACCCACCACCTTTGACCCGTGGCAGGGCCAGGAAGGTGTATTTCCCGCCCATACTGATCGAGTTTGCGGAGGGAAATTTCACCGTGCTTCCAGAGAACTACATGGTGGTACGCTACACACGCACTCCCCACACTCCCCTCCCTCCCTCCCCCTCCGCCCCTTCCCCCCCCTTTCGTCTGTTTCTCCTTCCCTGTCCCACGTCATGTGTGAGGAGTCACGCTTGTCCCACGTCAAGTGTGAGGAGTCTATTTTTGAGGCGCCTCAAAATATATACTCCTCCTCACGCATGTCCCACGTCATGGCTCTTCACTCCATGGTCCACCCACTCCACTCCCTCCTTTCTACTCTCCCTGATTTGGAATCTCACAACGCGAGCTTCTGTGCTGCTACATTGATTTTAAGAGAGAGCGAAAGGGAGGGTAGAGGCATCCCCCCCTCGTCCTGCTGCCTTATCACCCTTCCCCCCTCCCCCCCCCCCGAGATGTGCATCCCAGGTGAATGAAACCACGCAGTGCTTTGGTGCTGTGGCCCTAGACGCCAACGCCACCCAGTCCGCGTTCCTGGGGAGTGAGTACAGGGAGAAAGCAGGCGGATGGGAGGGGGTTGACGGGAGAGAGTAGACGGGAGGGTATGGACAGGGGAGAGTGGAAGGCAGGAGAGTGTTTGGGGCATGTTATTGGTGCAGTGGGTTGAGTTGCTGGCTGGGAGGTGCAGCAGGTTGGGGATGGATTTGGTGGGTGGGGGGAAGGGGCGGACCGGATAGGAGAGGCATAGCACTAAACATAGATGGTGTTGTTTTGTGTAAACCTCCGCATCCCTCCACTTATATCCCTTAGTCCACATTCCTTGGCCCGTACCATCGCTCATCCCCGTCAGCCATAACCTTTCGCCCAAATTCCGTCTCCCATGCCCCTTCCGCACCCCATACTTTCATCTCCTCCGGCTTTTCCCAGAGAATTTACTCCCTTGCACGACCATTGTTCCCTCTACTCTGTCTTTTACGCCTCTCCATTTGCCCATAACAACTTGCTCCCCGACCTCTCCTCAAAAACCATTTCCCCTTCCTCCCCCCCATACCCATTCCCTTGCCCTTCCCCCTTGATGCTGCTGCCAGCCATGTGGATCCGAGACCAGTTCCTGACTTTTGACTTCACCCGAAAGGCGTTCTCCTTTCAGCCCATGAACTGTATGATACGGGCCACCGCTTGGCAGGGCGTGGCATGGCATGGCATGGCATGGCGAGGCATGGCCTATCACGCATCCTACCAAATCACAGTATTGCATTGTCACATTTGGTTGGTTGCACTGCCGCTCTCCTCCCGCGTTGACTCATCCACCCCATCCATCTCTCATCATGCCAAAGTGTGCCCATTCGTCCACTCCTCCCAGCACACCCATTCCCCGTCCTCCCATGCTTTTTGAGCCAACTCAAATCTCACCTCGTCACAGTGCCACATCGCACACTCTCCTCACCCGTCTCCCACCACCTCAACCGTGTCCATTCGTCCATTCCTCCCTGCACAACCATTCCTCATCCTCACATTCCCACTCCCATCCTCGCATGCACGCCCTCATGCTCTCTCCTGTAATCCCGAACACTCTCACTCATCGCCTCTGTATTCTACCATCGGCCAGTGCTTCCCACGCCCCCATGCATGCCCTGCCAGGCACCACACTCAACCCCATCGTTGCCCCTCGCATTGTAGTTTATTTTTTAGAACTCTCAACAGCCTACCCTTGCTTGTCGCACCCCCATGCATTCCCTACCAGGCACCACACTCACACCCATCGCTGCCCCACCGCCTCCCCCTCCCCTCGTGCTCACCGTCCCAACGCCGCCAGACAAGGGTGAGAGGGAGGCAGAGGTGGGGGGTGCTGGGGGGAAGGGGTGGCAGAGTGGGGACGAAAGGAGGGGGAGAGAGGGGGAGACATGTGCGAGAGCGAGGGGCGAGGAGGTTGGGAGATGCAGAGGGAGTGAGCGAGTAGGGGTGACAATGAGGGTACCATGCGAGGTGGCGGGGGGAAGGTTTCTGCTTGGTGACGTTTGTGCAATGCTGAGGTGTCTGCAATTCTGAGGTGTCTGCAATGCCTATGTTCCTGCAATGCTGAGGTTTCCATTGTGCTGAACTTTGGGTTTGTGCGTGAGGCGTTGCCAGCTGAAGGTTCTTGGCTTAACTCTCGTGACTTCCCCCCTGCAGAGCCACTTGTGTTTGCATCTGATCATTTCCCCACATGTGCATTTCAATTTTCAACCCTTACCCTCCCACTGTTTCAGGAGCATATTCTCCCTCGCGGCTGCCTTGCACCTTGATTCTGCTCCTCCTTGCACTCTTATTGAACTCCTTTGCTTAAATGCTTCGATGTGTGATACCATACTCCATTCTATTGTGTTGACTTTTCTTCACCGTAGTGCCGTAAATAAGCATCTGCGAGCATTGTACGCTGTGCTTCTCAGCGAGCAAGTGAAAACTTTCCTGGTTAGCTTGTAGGCCCTTCCAACCAGCAAAGAGCCCTAGAGTAGGCCCCACGATATCAGGATTTTTACGCTTTTTTCAGGGTGTTTGCTTGTACCGACCCTGATGAAAAAGCCCTTTTTTCTGATTGGACCCTGTTGAAAAGGCATTTTTTTTGCGTTTAAGACTCATGTTTCAGCGTTTTTTTTATTGTAGACACTGATGCATCAGCGCACTAATGGGGATCGACACTGAACCAAACAGTTTCGCCCCTGGTTGGTGCACGATCCCCTCCCCCCCAAACCTCACCTACACCAGGTCGCAACAGAAACAATTTGGCAAAGTCCTCCAACCCAGGAACATTTCTCCGCCACACCCCTCGCAACTCGGAATTTCGTCGAAGTCCCCACAGCCAGTAACATTCCTCTCACACCTCCCGCAACCCAGAAAAATCGGCTTAAGTCCCCACAGCGAGAAACTCCCTCCCACTGTTAGAATACGTAAATGATTACTAGAAGGAGAAACCTAGAACATATACCTGTTGGGTTGTACTCACTAGAAGCACACACCTAGTCTAGCCTATAACTTTTACATAGAACATATGTATAAGATGACACACCCCCTAGGCTAGATATGGGGTGGTGCTAAGCAAGAAGCACACAGCTCAGGGTGGCACTACTAGTCCAACCACTGAGGCAGGGGTCCGGAGACCAGTCAGCAAGGGTACAAACAAGACTAAAGCAAGCCACGGCGGCACTATTAGTCCAGCCATTGGAGGTAAGGCCACAAGGCCAGTCAGACACGTATATATAGTAGAGAGTACACAATCATGGCCCTAGCAAATGAGAAGCTACAAGAACAAGACCAAGCTGTACACAGTGCCGCTGATGATCTTTAGGCACAAGCGCCTTCGTAAAGATATCAGCAGTGTTGGCACCGGAGGCCAAGTGAACTACGCGGGCCTGGCGACGCAGCTGTAGCTCGCGCAGGAGGAAGTACCGCAACTGGATATGCTTCGCTCTGCCCTCAAGTCGAGGCTCCTGACACAGGAGGATCATGGCCCTGTTGTCAGCGTACAGGACCAGGGCAGAGCTAAGCCGCTCACCTAATTCAGTGAGCAAGAAGGTCAGCCAGCGGAGCTCCTGTGCCGCCATGGCACCAGCGTAGATCTCAGCCTCACAGCTGGACTGAGCAACAGACAACGAGCGAGTGGATCTCCAAGATATAGCACCCGAACCAAGGCTAAAACAATAGCCCTGGGACGACTTGAGGGTCTCAGAGTCGTCTGCCCGAGAAGCGTCTGTGTGCCCAGTGAGAACCACCGGCCTGCGTCCTCCTAGTACTAACCCCATGCCCGATGTACTTGCTAGATATCGCAAAACCCTCTTAGCGGCCGACCAGTGCTAAGGCCGGTGTCTGCCAGTGGCCACAAAGCGAGCCAGGATGCTGAGAGGGTATGCAAGATCTGGGCGAGTGCAAGTCATCACGTACATGAGGCAACCCACCAGCTCTGCGTAGGGTCCACTGGGCTCTACTGGCTCCGCAGGAACTGGAGCAGAGAGCCCATGGTCTACAGGTAGAGGTGTGGGCTGTGCGGAGGAGAACTGAAGACCGAACCTCTGAAAGACCTGACGCACCAAGTGTGACTGTGTCAGAGTGATGGTGCGTACTACTCTGTCCCTGGAGATCTCCAGGCCAAGATAGCGACGCAGCTCTCCAAGGTCAGTGCAGGTGTGTCTCTTCAGCAGCTCAGCCTTCACAGAGGCCAGTGCGTCCCTGTCAGCAGTAGCAAAGACCAGGTCGTCTACGTAGACAAGGATGTAGAACGGAGTCTTGACGGAACGCACAAACAGCGAGGGGTCAGCAGAGGACGGAAAGAACTACAGGTCTGCTAGCGTGGCACGCAGCGTGCCGTGTCACTCGCGGGGAGCCTGGCGCAGGCCGTAGACTGGGCGCCTGAGAAGCCACTGGGTCCCAGGGGGGAACGTACCAGTGAAGCCCTGTGGTCGGCGCAGGTAGACCTGCTCGTGTAGGCTGCCCTGAAGAAAGGCAGTAGAGAAGTCGAGGGAGTGCAGCTCGTAGTCGCGCTGTGCTGCTACGTGTAGCCGCGCCCAAAGAGTGGTCATCTTCGGGGTCGGGGCGAAGGTCTGGAAGAAGTCAACCCCCTCGCGCTGGCTGAAGCCTCTGGCCACGTAGCGCGCCTTGAAGACAGGCGGCTCTCCAGGGGGGCGCTTCACCTTGAAGAGCCACCGACCATCGACTACGTTCACACCAGGCGGGGGAACTGCGTCGACGTAAGTGTCGGTGGACCTCCAAGATGCCATCTCCTGCTCCATGGCAGCTATCCACTAAGAGGCCCAGGGTTCCGAGGTGGCCTCAGCGTAGGTGCGAGGGGTCGGGATGTCGAAGGCGTCTGGGTCACCCTCTGGGACTAGGAGCATGGAGCAGAGATGGGGAGCAGCCTCGGAAAGGAAAGCAAGCTCGTACTGCCTGTCCTCTAGTACGTCACTGCCAAGGGCAGGTGCACCCCCGACAGACGCAGGACGGGCAGGGTCAGAGACCAGAGCGGTAGTGTAGTCAAGGCGGCGGGTAGAGGCGAAGTCAGCGACAGCAGCAACAAGTGCGTGAAGGCAGGAGACAAGAACAGACGGGTCGGTAACAAGAGAGGCAAGGACCCGAGGGATAAGGGGACTAGCGGCACGGAGGTAGTCAGACAGCAGGGGAGGTGCAACAACGAGCGACGAGGGAGGAGGCGAGGGGAGGAGGGGAGGACGAGACGAGTGAGAACAAAGTAACATAGGATGGGAGCACGGGACAGGGGAGACGGGACGAGCACGGGAGGGACGGCGAGACCAAACGTGGGACGGAGGTGTAGGGTCAGGAGACAGCGGAGGTGTCACAAGGGGGGAACGAGGAGGAAGACGGGCCGGAGAAGAGTCCGGTGGCGGGAACACAGGGCCGTAGGCAGGAAGGTGAGGAGGAGGTGGGGGAGACACCGGCGAGCGGTCAGGGGAGGGAAGGCCGAGCAGGCGAAGAGCGAAGACCGGCGGCGACGACTGCGGCGGCTGCTGCGGCGGCTGGTGCTCGACCCTCAAACCGGCAGGGGCACGACGACCTCCGGGAGAACACTCAGCAGCAGCACCCCCAGAACCAACACCCCCAGAGCGAGAACCCTCTCCAACACCAGCGGCACCCCCAGGAGCCGTAGAACGAACACCCTCCTCAACACCAGCACCCCCAGGGGCCAAGAGCGGCGGCGGAAGTGGCGGTGACGACAGCGGCGGCGGCGGCTGCGACAGCGTGGGCGGAGACACCAGGGAAGGGGGACGCGGCAAAGGCGGGGCGGGGGGACCACCAGAGTCAGCAGACTCCTCAACCGGAACAACTGATGGGAGGGGAGTAACATGGGAGACACCAGACGGGGCAGGACGCAGCGGGAGGGGAGGAGGGGCTACTGGGGGAGAGGGGGCAAGGAACAGGGGGGGGAAACCGGGAGACCTCGGTGAGGGAAGCGACGGTAGAAGGAGACGGACTCGTCAAAGGTGACGTTACGAGAGTGGAGGAAGCCGTGAGATTGCAGGTGGTAGAAGAGCCAGTCAGACGAGTCCAGGGGGAAACCAAGGAAGACATTGGGGACAGTGTGGGCAGTGAGCTTGTCCATGCCAGAGGCACGAACGTGAGCAAGGCAGCCCCAGACGTGGAACGCAGACGCGTCACCGGGGGACCCGGTCCAAACGAGGGTCGGTGAAACCTGCGGCTGCAGGGAGCGTGGCCACAAGTTAAGATGGTGAGCGGCGTAGCGAACGGCGAACGGCCACAGAAAATGGGGTGCACCGGCATGAATCATGGAGGTACGAGCCACCTCCATGACCAAGCCGATGCGGCGCTCAGCAACCCCATTCTGCTGTGGCGAGTCCGGCAAGGTGTAGACTGGGTGATGCCCTCCGCATGACAGAACTTTCCAAGCCGACCAGAAGCGAACTCTCCGCCACGGTCAGAGTGGAGACACAACACGGGGAGACCGCGGTGAAGACGCGCAGCCACAACCCACGGGAGAAGAACGTCGGGCACGTCGACCTTCCGCTCCAGGGGAAGCACCGTGGTGTAGCGCGTGTAGTCATCGACGAGCACAAGAAAGTAGCGCTCGCCACGCGGTCCGGGGACGGGGGCTGGGCCCCAAACGTCCAGGTGCAGGGTCTGAAGGGGAGCAGTAGCAGGGCGAAGCGAGGAGGAGTGAGGGGCACGGCGGAGCCGGCCCTCGACTTAGGGCGTGCACGGTGGAGCAGGCGAGAGGGGAAGGGCGGGGAGCGACGCGAGGAGGCCTAAGACAAGACCGTGCTGGGACATGTGACGCAGACGCGGGAGTGCAGGGTGACCTAGGCGGTGGTGCCACAAAAGGGATGGGTGAGTGAGAGACCGATACGAGCAAGCTGCAGCGACCTGGGAGGACGCACCAACCGGTGGGGAAGCGGTGTCTAGGGTGAACAGTCCGGACACCGGGTCCCGGGGGAACGTAGCAAGTGGGGAACCTGAGACAGCCTCAGAACAGACAGCGAACCGCTCGTTCCCGGGGAACGTAGTGGTGACGCCGAGGTCCTGAAGACAGCGGACACCAACCAGGTTCCTCGAGAACGAGGGAACGTGGAGGCCTGTAAGAGAGCCCTAGGGAACTGCTGGACAGGGAAGGGACGTGGAACTGCGAGCGACGATGGGACCCGCAGAGGGGTCAGCGAGAGAGACAACAGCAGGCGCAGCAAGCGGCGTAAGCGTGGAGCGGTCGCGGAAGAAACAGGCAGAAGCACCGGAGTCGAGAGTGAAGGACAGCGAGGTAGTGGCGGAGGCTGGGAACGGAGCCGGTGCAGAACCTAGGCTAGGCAAACTAGGCAGTCCTACGCCTGACACAGCAGGGGAGGCTAAGTTACACAAGGGTGAGACACCTAAGCTAGAGTACACTGGGTAATAAGATCCAGCAACACTAGAAGCGTCAGCATACAAAGCATGCAAAGCAGCACCTATCTGATCCATATCTAACTCAAAGATCGGCACGCCCTGGCAAAGCAGGCTGTGCCAGTCGGGGAGGTCCGGGGCCGGGCCAAAGCGACGACGAAAGAGATCGTCGAGGCGACGGAAACAGCGGGCGGTCGGGTGCGGGC